CCTCTTGCTTCAGCTGTAGGCGATCTGACTCCCAAGAATAGCAGGTGGTGAATTAATACTGTGATTTGCATTTTGGGGGCTATGTGTGTGCAGAGTCTTGTTTATCCTGCTTTAGCGTTCTTTATATTAAAATGTGTTTATATTTAAAGAGATACAAACTGAAATATTGGCCTGCTTTTGTCACGGTTGTAGTCTAATCCACCATGAGAAATCATAATATAATTTCATTTTTCCCTTGGTTTAATGCTGCTAAAGAAGCCGGCTGTAAGTCTGAGGAAACAAATCTACTTCTAAGCACACCTGCATGCAAATGGGCTGTGGAGGTGGCTTATCCTTTTACATAATAAGTTAGAGAGTTCTCTTTTTCAGTGGAATAGATGTATAGATTAATAAACCCAGACTAGGCGTACGGATACGTGGAATCAATGTAAGCCTGGTTAGAGATGACAAAGAGCTTCACGCTCGAGTGCTTTGCAGCCTAATTCAATAAAACAAAATGAAAGGCAAATGCTTGAGGAGCCGAGGAGAGGATCTTTATGAAAATATTAAAACCTCTGTACAAAGAAAATCATATTCTTTTTTGAGCTTGCTCCCAACATTGCAATGTAATGTATGGGCCTCTTTTGGGGGGAAAAATATCAAGGCACTTTGTGATTTTTTTTTAACAAAGCAAGGCAAAGAAACCATTTTGAATGTAGAAACCTACTCTTTGGTCTTTAACTGAAAAGTAAAATGCTGACATAAAACTAGATTTTTTTTTTTCGCCCATCAATTTGCAAAACTAAAGTATAAATCCAAACTGAAACAGTGACAGCGTGAAAAGCTATTCACGGGTCTGCAGCCATCTCTGATTCCATCAATTTGTTTTGCAGTCTTTGTTGTGATTCTGTGTTTCTCAGGGATCTCCAGAGACAGTTTCAGGCTTGAGGGGAGAATATCAATAGCCCGCATGTCCTCTAGGAGGCTTCCCTGCGACAGTCACCCTGCTTCCGCAGATCCGATCTTCCGTTTCTTTTAATGATGGTGGCAAAACAACAAAAATTATTCATTTTGGGAAACATGAATATCAACAAAGCAATAATGTCTGAGTGAGAGTATATAGTTTTGTTCCCTTTTTGTGCAGTAAGCTCAAAGGCAAAAAGTAAGAATCAATTGGTCTCTTGTCTGGGATTTCATGAATCCATAATTATATCAATGCATTTAAAAATAAAACAAAAAGCTAAATAAATTTGAACAGAACTTGCAAAGTCGAGTTGGCACACTGCGGTGAAACAAGTACTAGACTTTCTAAATGGGTTTGGATGGCCTGTTTTCTGAGCTGGGCCCTACCAGGTGACAGGTGGGTCATCTTTGAAAAAAATCCCTAATTCCCTTGAACTCTGTATTTCACATCCTGAAGTGGAAATAACAATATCTGCTCTTCTAACCTACTGATGAAATATAACATGACTTGTATGCAAGTGTCTAGAAAATGTTAGAACTATATATGAATATAATATGTTATCAGATTATTAGAAGAGATATCATGAATTTTTTTTAATATTCACAGCATTCTCTAGAAACTCTGGAAAATTCTATAATACTTGTTTTTAAGAGAAGAATTACTTTCAGTTATTCATTTTATATGCTAAAATATCTATTTGTATATATGTAAATATTTATATTTTTTTGCTTTTTGTTTTCTCTCTCTCTCTCTCTCTCTTCCCAGCTCCCTTAAGTCCTTCTTCCCAGTTATCCTCAAACATTCAATTCAGTGTTACCTGCTTCAAGAAATTTCTCCCATCCTCAAGGCTGGATTGGTCCCTGCTACCAATCTAAGGATTTTTCCTTTTAGAAATCCTTGAGTTAATCTTGAATTACATTTCCCACATATCTTGGGTTTATTTTTCTGCCTCCTCTGTGAGATTGTGAACATCTTAAGAATGGACCTTGGATCATAATCATTTTTGAATTTCCAAGGCCTAGCACAGTGTTTGCCACATGGTGGACACCCAATAAATTTTGTTGTATCAATAATGGCTACTCTTATCAGATACACATAAATATGGAAATGCTCCTATTCTAATGTGAGGGGGCCAGGGACTGGTTAGATTTATCCATTGCTATAATAAATTGACTTTTTCTTTAGAATCATGGTAGACAGAATGGTTCTCTACAAATGTCCATGCCCTTATACCAAACCTGTGACTATGCCATGTAACAAAAGGGACTTTGCAGATGGATTTAAGGTCACAGACCTTAAAATAAAAAGATTATTCTGGTTTATCTGGGTGGGCACAATCTAATCACATAAACCCTTAAAAACAGAACTTTCTCTGGCTGGAAGCAGAAAAGATGCAGCAGCAGGAGAAGTCAGTGAGGTTCAAAGTGTGAGAAGCACTTGATGGGTTGTTGCTGGCCCTGAGGTGCAGGGGGCTGGTGTGAAGGACAGAGAAGGACCTCTAGGAGCTGAGAGAGGGGTTCAGCTGACAGCCTGCAAGAAGCAGGAACCTTGGTTCCACATCCACTGGCACTGAATTGTACCAGCAGTGTGAATGAGCCTGAAAGCACATTCTTCCCTGGAGCCCTCAGATAAGACCCCAGGTTGGCTGACACCTTGATTTCAGCCTTAGTAGACCCACAGCGAAAAACAACCCAGTCTGGTCTACCTGGACTTCTGACCTACAGAAAGGCGAGATAATAAATTTGTGCTTTTATATGTCACTAAGTTTGTGGTAATTGGTTATGGCAGCAATGGAACACAGATACAGAAATTAATTTACTATCTCCAAAAGACCAGATTTTGGAAACCTGTCATAAAGGTGCGAATAGTCTGGGACTGCAGCAGGCTATAAAAATCCCCACAGAGGAAGCCACTGAAAAGTCACCCACGTTGGGTTCCTTGGGATGGTGACAGCAGCAATGGTGGAATCACGGGATTGGTTGGTGCTGCCACCCTAACCAAGTCTGCGTGACCCGTCCCTGGATCCCTGGGGATTTACTCAATTTCTTCCTGACTTGAAAGTCAGGCTGAACGTTAGATTTTGGCAGGGCGAGGCAGAGCAGGAGATGTGCTTTATATACATGTATGGATTACATATATATACACATATACATATACATAGTGCTTACAGTGTGAAACATGAGAGTTGAATAACTTACTAAGTTACCTGTCTTTACTATCGTCATCATTATCATCATGAATTCAGTAGTGTTGCCCTGCTGTGACTCACCCCTCCCTCCTCTGCCCTAGTGGGGAGTTTTACTGGTTCAGTGTTTCCAGCATGGAAACCTCCAACCTTCTGCCGAAGTGGAGGGTGAGCCATCCCCCGGCTGAGTAGAGGTGGAAAGGGGACCTAGGGGACTTTCCAGCTCCTTAGATTGATTTTTAACTGCTCTTCTGGGTCTTCATCACTACCTCTCACCATTCCTTTCTGGAATTCAGAGGCATAAACAGGCTTTCTTGCCATTGGTTTTTCCTCCTGGAGGCACTTAGTTTCCAGCTTTCTCTGCTAAATTGGTGACTGACACTTGTCCCCCGCTCTGTGGTCTTGCATCTATTGTCTCCTCTCCTGTTTCTTTTGCTTGGAGGGTTTATGGTGCCTTCCATACTCCTTTACTAATAGTCTAGTTGCTTTTGAGGAGGGAAAGAAATCACCTCATGGCTCCAGTAGGCCATGCTAACCACAAGGCCACTGGCATCATTTCTTTGTCTATGAAACGAGGGGTTACAGTGGATAAACTTTAAGGCATTTTCCTCCACTGCAAATCTTTGCTCCTGCGTATAGTTTAGATTTAATGTAATTCCCAGCTGATCACAGCCAGATTCCTTATCACTTATCTCACTCTCAGAATAGTAGTGATTATTTTTGCTTTTGTTGTTTTGAATCTCTTTGAGCAAGAGACCTGCGGTGTAGCAAATTATATCTTGTGTACAAATTAGAGTAAACTGAAAAACACAGGTGACTTTTGTTCCCTTCTGCATCACAAAGACCTTTTCAATACACCTGATTGATTGTAAAGGGAACTCCACAAGCAGATGTGAGCTACTGGGACTCTGCTAATGGTAATTTGGGTGCTGTCATATTTATCATGCTGTGCTATTTGGCAAGCGAGTAGGAAGCCTTTAAACTTTTTGCTCTTTCTGGGGAAAGAATCCAGAAAGAAGGTGATGCCAAAATTTAAATCAGAAAGAAGTTTGCTTTCTATGGATAATCACAAAGAATGTCCTGACAAGTCAACAAAAGTTCTGTTTTGGTTAAGTTAGTTCAGGTTGGATTTTTATCCCTTGCATCCAGGAAAGTCTTTGATTCATAAGGGGCAGTGGAAATAGAGAAGGGGTGTGTTGTCTTTCTCTTTGGAGCTCCACTGCATGGCTTGATGCTTTGTACTTGTGTCCCTAGTGCCTGTCACTCTTTGTTGTACTCACTGCTGTTAATGACTAACTCTTATGTGTTCTCTTTGGGTAGCCAGGACAGAAACTTCCACAAGATAATGACTGTTTTAAAGATGCTGGGTTATGTAATATTTGAAGTAAAAAAATAGGTTAGAATTTGATGTCATGCCTTGCATGTGGTTTTTGTTTGTCTTGGTGTTGTTGGTATAGGGGATGGGAAAAGAGTCCCCTGAAAAGTTTTCCATTAAAATAGGAATCCTAAATAATCAAAGTAAGGGAGACATTGATGATTGTTATTTCTAAAACTCTCAATTACTCTGGGTGCAGAATATTATTAAAGGTTTGTTTAAAAGAAGAGATTAGTGTATCAATATTTGATAATGTTAGGTTAATCAGTGACTTGCTCTGTATATATATATTTATATGTATATATTACACACACATATTTTCATGAAACTTTGTTTTAATGGGTCTCAAAATTCTGTGACAGATTTTTGGTCAAGTTGTTTCCATTAAAAAGTACTGATTTTAAAAACTAGTAACTTAAAACTGTCATACAAAAAGAAACAAAAATGATCCACAAAACATTTTCCTTTCCTTCCAAAGGTTGCATTGTTATTAACCAGTCTTTTACTATGAAAACTTAAATGGCCAATTAAAACAAATAGTTTTGAGATCGTTCTTCCACCACTTGGCCCACAGAAACAGAACCAATACCACCAATTCTGTAGACATCCTGGAAAGGCAGAGGTGGGGGCTCGTCAGTTTGATGAGCTAGTGGCAGGATGCAGTCCAGAGTTTCAAGCAGTGTGGTTCCACTGGCATTGCCATCTTTACGGGTGACGTTCCATCCCTTGAACCAAGGCATGTTAGCACTTGGCTCCAACACGTTGTCACCATTCCAACCAGAAATTGGCACAAGTGCTACTGTGTTGGGGTTGTAGCCAATTTTCTTAATGTAAGTGCTGACTTCCTTAATGATTTCCTAGTATCTCTTCTGGCTGTTAGGGCGGCTCAGTGGAATCCATTTTGTTAACACCAACAATTAGTTGTTTCACACCCAGTGTGTAAGCCAGAAGGGCATGCCCATGAGTCTGCCCATTTCCTGAGATACCAGCTTCAAATTCACCAACACCAGCAGCAACAATCAGGACAGCACAGTCAGCCTGAGATGTGCCTGTAATCATGTTTTTGATAAAGTCTCTGTGTCCTGGGGCATCAATAAGAGTCATGTCATATTTGCTGATCTCAAACTTCCACAGGGAGAGATCAATGGTGATACCATACTCGCACTCAGCTTTCAGTTTATTCAAGACCCAGGCATACTTGAAGGAGCCCTTTCCCATCTCAGCATCCTCCTTCTCAAATTTTCCAGTGGTAATCTTGTTGATCTTGCCACATTTGTAGATCAGATGCCCAATAGTGGTGGACTCACCCAAATCTACGTGTCTAATGACGATGATGTTGCTATGAGTCTTTCTCTTCCCCATTTTGGCTTTTATGGGTGATTTTCATGCCACCTGTGTTCTGGTGGCAAACCCATTGCAAAGAAGGAATATCTATTTATGTTGATACATAGTAGATATATGTATTTTTGTGGTATATGTAATAATTTGATACATTCCTATGATCAAGTCAGAAAAATTGAGGTATCCTTCACCTTAAATATTTATCTTTACTTTATGCTAGGAGCATGCAAATTATTCTCTTCTAGCTATTTAGAAATGTAGGATAATGTTCACTATAGTGACCCCATTGATCTGTTGAACACTAGACCTTATTTCTTCTATCTAACTGTATATTTGTACCCATTAATCAAACTCTCTTCATCCCCCTTGCCCCACTACCCTTCCTGGTCTCTGGTAACCACAAATTTACTCTCTATCTTCATGAAATCCACTCTTAGCTCCCACATACAAGTGAGAACATGCTGTATTTGTCTTTCTGTGCTTGCTTGGCTTGCTTCACTTAACATAATGACCTCCAGTTTCACCGTGTTGCTGCAAATGACAGAATTTCATCATTTAATGGCTGAATGATATTCCATTGTGTGTATATATATATATATATATATATACACACACACACACCATATTTTCTTTATCCATTCATTCATTGATGGACACTTAGGTTGATATCATATTTTAGCTATTGCGAATAGTGCTGCAATAAACATGGGAGTGCAGATATCTCTTCAGTATATTAATTTCCTTTCTTTTGGATATATACCCACGTATTTTTCCATTTTGCATTGCTATAAAGGAATATCTGAGACTGAGTAATTTCTAAAGAAGAGAAGTTTATTTGGCTTATAGTTCTGCAGTCGATATAAGAAGTATGACATCAGAATCTGCTTCTGGTTAGAGCTTCAGAGAGCTTCCAATCCAGGCAGTAAGTCAAGGGGGAGCAAGAGTGTTGCTTGATGACAGAGGGGGCAAGAGAAGGAGGAGGGGCAAGGCTCTTTTAAACAGCCAGCTCTCACATGAACTAATAGGAGAACTCGTTGCCAATGGGAAGGCAAAAAGTCATTCATGAGGGGTCCACCCCATGACCCAAACACCTCTCACCAGGCCCCACCTCCAACATTGCGGTTCAAATTTCAACAATGAGATTTGGAAAGGACAAATAATTGAAACCAGGTCAACCCACAAGTGTAATTGCTGGATCATATGGTAGCTCTATTTTTAGTTTTTCTGAGGAACCTCCATACTTTTTTCCATAGTGGCTACACTAATTTGCATTCTCACCAACACCATATAAGGGTTTGGAGGTTCCCCTTTCTCCACATCCTTGCCAGTATCTGATTTTCCCTGTCTTTTTGATAAAAGCCATTCTAATAAGATGATATCTCATTGCGGTTTTGATTTGCATTTCTTTGATGTTAGTGATGTCGAGCATTTTTTCATATACCTGTTTGTCATTTGTTATGTCTTGTTTGGAGAAATATCTATTCAGATCTTTTGCCTATTTTAAAATAAGATTTTTTTAAATTTTTTTATTTTTTTGGTATTGTGTTGTTTGAGTTCCTTATATATTCAGGTTATTAATCCCTTGTCAGATGGATAGTTTGCAAATATTTTCTCCCATTCTGTAGTTTGTCTATTTATTGATTGTTCCCTTTTCTGTGCAGAAACATTTTAGCTTGATTTGATCCCATTTGTCTATTTCTAATTTTGTTGCCTGTGCTTTTGAGGTCTTATATAAAAATCTTTTCCCAGACCAATGTCCTGGAATGTTTCCCCAATGTTTTCTTCTATTAGTTTCATAGTTTCAGGTCTTAATTTAAGTCTTTAATACATTTTGATTTTATTTTTGTGTATGGAAGAGATAGGGGTATAGTTTCATTTTTCTGCATATGGATAGCCAGTTTCCCAATGCCATTTATTGAAGAGATTATTCTTTCTTCATTGTATGCTTTTGGCACCTTGTTTAAAATGAGTTTGCTATAAATGCATGGATTTATATCTGGGTCTTCTATTCTATTCTATTGGTTTATGTCTATTTAAGTCATAGGTGGCACTGGTGGGTAAGAATCAGCCACACCTTTTATGATTGAATCAGTAAATGCTGTAATGGGCTGTACAAATTGTCTTCTCTGCCAGTAGGTGGCACTTGCAGGAAAGAGTCAGCTGTCCTGGGGATTTTGGGGATTTGTGATGGGCTCTAGCCCCTTAGAAGAGGCACTCAGATGCACCAGGTGGTGTATGGGGCCCTGTAGCTCCCAGGGGACTCCTTATTCTCTATGAGAGCAGATGTGGGGGTAGGAGCAGGGCTGGACAGGGTTGGGTCGGGTGAGACTGCCTTCAGGTTCCATAAAGGCAGGCAAAAGAGCTCTCTCAGCAAGGGTCGGGGTCAGCTCCCCAGGTCTCTGGGAAAAGCCATCAGGGAGGGGCTGAAGCAGCCCCACCAAGCCAGAAAGTCTGCTCATGGTGGGAGGGCGGCAGTTTGCGATTCACAGTCTGGCAGCTAGAAGTGGGTTTTGCTCTTTTCCCTCTTCCCTTGTCCTGAAGATCTCTTTCCAGTGTCTGGACACAAGCAGAAGCCCAAATAAGCTGAGTTTACCAGCAGTAGTGCTGCAGGGTGGGAGGTTCCCTATCCAGGATCCTGCCTGGGACTGAAAGTATGGCTTTCGCATGGGGAGAGGGATGCTCTATGAGTGTTCTAGGGCTCACACTGAACTCTCCTTTTAGCTCCATATGTGTGGGCTCCCTCACCTCCCAAGAGTTCATAGATCTCCCCTCTGTTACCAAAGCAATGTGATCAAGTCCTAGGGGTACAGGCTGCCCTATGGGCCTGTCCTCTGATTCTTCAAGTTCAATCCCTGAGCATATAATATTATTTTGGTCAGTGAAGTGTGAGTTTAAGCCTGCAAAGTAGCTTCTGGGAAGGTTATCTTTGTTCATGATGAAGGACCTGGAAAAGGGCATTGTTGTGGGTGGGTATTATATTTGAAGTGGCTACCACTATTTTGCAGCCATGAGAGGATGTTCTTGAGGACCTCACTGAGGATGGAAAAATAGAAAGATGAAAAGAACCTGGGTATTGATAATATTGTCAAACTGCTGACTTGTTTAACCCTGGAACAACCTCATATTTGGACTTTGTGCTGTGTGGGATAATAAATTTCCTTATTGTTTAACCCATTTTGAGGTTACTCATCACTGAAATAGTCCTAAACAATATAGTAATAAAACAGATTTAATGCTTTTCCTTTTGACTAAAACTTCTTTCTTCTATGCTTTCTTCAAATTTGAGAGAAGCATGATAATAAAAATAAAACTAGATAAAAGAATTGCAAATATTAAAGGATTCATAGAATGTCAGCACTGAAAGGGATGTTAATAAATTATTAAAAAAACCACTTATTTTTTGAGAAAGATAGATATGCTAGATACTGGATATAGCAGAGAACAAGACACACTGTTCCTGCTCTTTTGGAACTTATAGTCTAGTGAGTTTTAGAGAGTATTTGGTCTAATCTTCTTATTACACTGATAGGAACAACTTTTATATCTTGCACTGTTGGTATAATTATTTTTTGTCATTTAATGAAGGAGGATGGATCCTATTAAAAGAAAGACTGTAAGTTTGTGGTTCTTTTTGCTTTTGAACATACAGCTAGCTTTTTTTACTCATCTGAGTACCTAAAGGTTTTGGCTTCAGGCTCGGGCCTTAAACTGAATTTGGGTGTAATGGTTGGAGGGAGCTAAATTTCTTTGCAAAACAAGGTGAGAGGAATTTGGAATGACTTGGACAATGTGTGTGTGTGTGTGTGTGTGTGTGTGTGTAAGTGAGAGGGAGAGAGAGAAAAACAGCAAGATGGTCAAAGACTGAGGGCTGAAGTAGGGAGACCAGTGAGAAATCTCCTGAGATGGCGACCAAAAAGGACTTCCAAGATGTGACATGACTGATATGTAGTTTTGAGTTCTTTGCTGTGTCATGCAGAAATGTAACTTTTTGGCAGTGACCTAGAAAACTTCAGTGAAAGTTTTGCTACACATCATAGGCTTTGTTCCCTTGTTGCTTGAGTGGGGGAACAGGGAGATAAAGGATTGACCTCAAGGTACAGAGCACAGAACAAGAATTCAGCAGTGGCAGGAAATGGGAGAGAATGCAGCAGAGGCAGGAAAATATACCCCATTCCCTTATCTTCCTCTCCTCAGGAATTTTGCAGAAAACTTGAAAGAGGGCTCTGGGCTTTGCACTGGATAAGGACCATATGGGATTTGACCACTTTAAATGACATCTTACGGGACATCTAGATACTGTGCTGGTGGATGCAGGACTCATAATAGTAATTATTCAATTATTGGGTCATTGCCTTCCCCTCTAGACAGTAAGCTCCTTGATGACAGGGATTGTGTCTGTTTCATTGATAACATTCATCTTGAGTAGTGCTTAAAAATTAGCATCCCATTAATATTTATTAAACAGTTCCCTCCTGACAGGGAAAGACTATCTTTTAAATATTCTCAGTGTTCGCCTTCCTCTGCTCGCTGAGGAGAAGCAGCCTGCACCCCCTGGCCTCTCTCAAGAGAGTTGTGCATTGCCAGGTGGGCTCCCAAGTCAATCAGGTATGACTGATTGTGGGTGATGGGGACCTGCAGAAGTTGGGAGAGGTTTTAGGTTTATACTGGAAATATTAGAGAGCTACACATAAGAGAAAAGCAATAGATAACAGTTTCAGGCAAGGGAGACAGAGAAGAAATCTTGTGTGAGTTGAGTTTGAGAGATTTGGGGAGCTTTGGAGGGAGGAGCATCTTTGGGTGCAGGTGCAAAGCCTATGAATACACATACACACACAGATAAGATATTTATGTAGGCAGAAAGTGGCAGGAAAAAGTTGGTTTCAATAAGTTTTGCTGTGTGTTAAGAGTAGGATCTCTATGGGCAATTTTCAGTAGATTTCAATAAAGATTTAAATTGCTTCTTGGTTATTTTTGACTGTATTTCTTTGAACAAGAGTCCAGGCAGAGGCTGACTTCTAGGT